ATCTCAGAATTTGAAAAGTACTTGTGACCGACGATAAATTTGATGTTTCGACTCTGTATCTCCCAGCCAGATCCCTTACCCCTTCCTCTCCGTAACCCTCTCGCTCCTTCAGCTGTTTAGAATGTAAACAAAAATGTCAGTCACTAAAAGCGCTGTGCAAAGTTAAGGAAACATTTTGTGTTGCTGTGCTTTTAAAATGCCGAAGTCTCAAAGAGAATATAAAGCACGGAGCTGTAAGGGGCAGTACTTGATTCGGAGGAATATAGGGAATCGTGCGAACCAAGAGTTGGCTGCTGCTCGCGCTAGAGAGAACCGACGCCATGAGAGGTTAGATGCACCGCATTGTCTTTCTGATTTTAGTTTAGTTTGATTGAGTTCTAATTTTTTTTGTATCATTTCCAGGGTTGATCAGCATGCTCCCGATGAAGAGGTAGGAGAGATTGTTGTCCACGTTCAGGGTGAGGCGGAAGCTCTAAACGATGCCGGCCGCAGGGCAGCCCAGGTTGCTGTTGAACCAAATAGGCCAAATAGGAGGCCAAACAGCCCTCCACAGCAGGAAGACATAGGTGGCATGAACCAGCCTCCACAGCACAATGGTGTCGAACCGAGATTTGATGATGAGGTTCAAGAAAATCCATATGACAATGTTCTGTCTGGAGATGAATCTGAAGACGAAGGACCTGATAGGCACAACTTCTTTGAAAACCAAAACCTCTACGAAGGGGCTCCAATCACTGTTGGAGAAAGTATGCGGATGGTACTAAATCTAATGCTGAATCACAATCTTACAGGTTCCTGTGTTGCAGATTTGTTGCAACTAATCAACTTTCACTGCCCTGCTGCTGGACTGCATCGCCTGAGCTACTACAAGTTTCGTGCCTTCACCAGTGGCGGTAATGCACCTATGAGGAAGAAACACTACTGTGCAGTTTGTTTCACATCTTTGAGAAATAAGGATGAGGTATGCCCTACTTGTAGAGTTGATAGGGAGAAGGGCTATT